GCCTCCCAAAGTGCTGAGATTACAGGCTTGAGCCACCGCGCCTGGCAACTTCCTGTTGATTTGCATCTATTTCTTTAAAATTTTTTATTTTAAAAATCTGTGATGTGGAAAATGTAAAAAAAAAAAAAAATCTAATGTATCATTTATTTTTATTTTATGTTTTTATCAAGCTTGGCTGACAAAAGGTTTCTATTTCTTAAGCTGGGTCGTAGGTCATAGGTGATTTTGAAGTCCTTTGGACCATGCATGTTTATATGTATTATATTTCATAATAAAAGGTAATTAAAAATAATTTTGGGGGGCCAGCCATGGTGGCTTATGCCTGAAATCCCAGCACTTTGGGAGGCTGAGATGGGTGGATCACTTGAAGTGAGGAGTTCAAGACCAGCCTGGCCAACATGGTGAAACCCCGTATGTACTAAAAAATACAAAAATTAGCTGGCTGTGGTGGTTCATGCCTATAGTCCCAGCTACTTGGAAGGCTGAGGTGGGAGAATCACTTGAACCTGGGAGACAGAGGTTGCAGTGAGCCAAGATTGCACCACTGCACTCCATTCTGGGCAACAGCGAGAGACTTTGTCTAAAAAAAAAAAAGGCCGGGTGTGTTGGCTCATGCCTGTAATCCTAGCACTTTAGGAGGCCAAAGTGGGTGGATCACCTGAGGCCAGAAGTTCAAGAACAGCCTGGCCATCATGGTGAAACACCATCTTTTAAAAAAAAAAAAAAAAAGCAAGAAAGATTAATTTTTTTTTCATGGGGCTGAAATCTTTGCTTATATTGTTAATCATGAATGTGGGCTTTTTCCAAAATGTACTATTTAATTTCTTTTACTATAGGAAGGAATTGTCGAAAATCTTTTCAAATGGGCCCAAGAGGCTGATCAACCATTGAGGACATATTCTACTGGTCTGTTAGGAGGTGCTATGGAAAATCAAGACATTGCTGCCAACTACAGAGATGAAAATTCACAGCTGGTAAGGACTGTGTTAAGAGTATTATAATAAATTTTTGTATAAGATGGGAGAGAATTCACAAGTTCTTTCTTGTTAACCTAAATCTGAATGAGTAGATCATATTGATTACCTTGTACTGGAGCATGGCTGTAATTTCAAGATTAGTTTCCATAAGAGTTTTTAAAAATTATTTAAAAAATAGCTACTTTTTAAAATTTGAGACAGAGTCTTGCGCTGTCGCCAAGGCTGGAGTGCAGTGGTGCAATCTTGGCTCATTGTAACCTCTGCCTCCTGGGTTCAGGCAGTTTTCCTGTCCTCAGCCTCCCGAGTAGCTGAGATTATAGGCACGTGCCACCACTCCTGGCTAATTTTTGTATTTTTAGTAGGGATGGGGTTTCACCATGTTGGTCAGACTGGTCTCGAACTCCTGACCTTGTGATCTTCCCACCTAGGCCTCCCAAAGTGCTGAGATTACAGGTGTGAGCCAACACGCCCTGGCCAAAACTAGCTAGTTTTAATCTTGTCAAGAATGATGACATTGTCTACCAATAAAGAATAATAACATTCCCTGTTTCCCTTTCTAGCATTTGCGTTATGAAAATTTTCAAACATGTAGCAATATTGAAAGCATTTTACAGTGAACAGTTACATATATACATCACTAAATTGATTGTGAACATTTATAATATCCATCCATCTGCCCTTCCTTTTTTTTTCCCCCCATCAGCTTTTATTTTAAGTTCTGGGAGTACCTGTGCAGGATGTCCAGGTTTATTACATAGATAAACATGTGCCATGGTGATTTACTGCATAGATCAACCCATCACCTAAGTATTAGGCCCAGCATCAATTAGCTGTTCTTCCTGATGTTCTTCCTGCCACCCCCCCACCTTGCCAGGATGTGTTGTTCCTCCTTATGTGTCCGTGTGTTCTCATCATTCATTTCCCACTTATAAGTGAGAACATATGATGTTTAGTTTTTTATTCCTGTGTTAGTTTGCCAGGGATAACGGCTTCCAGGTGCTCTTCCTTTTTATCTATCCACTATTCTAATTTAAAAAAATGGAATTCAACTAGAGTGTACACATAACCCCTCTCTTTTTAAAATGAAGCACATTACCACTTTATAGGGTTGACCCAAAAAATAGGTAATTCAGAAGTTAAAAAAAAAAAAAAAACCTTGAAAAGTGATAATATAGTTATGTATAATATAGATGGCAATATCTAATGGAATATGACCTACAATAGATAAAAGTTCGAAAAACTTTAATGTTTGATTTTCAAAGACACTTTAGAATAATCATGAATATATCTAATTTCTGCCTCTTCAGGTGTGATGGTCCAGCTCAACTTCACCCAGACAGATCAGTTGTCAATGATGTATTTTATGTGCAAATCTTCTGGTTTGGGTTCACTGGAAAATTTTATGGGAAACAATATTTAGCTGTTACTTATTTCATCAAGTTGTAGGACTCAAAGCAACATATATATCAAATTGTTGCTGTTACCAGGCTTTGGGCATGAGTCTCCAGTTCTTATGTGGAAATAAGAATTGTTAAGGATTATTTAATCCTTAATAAAGAGACACCTCTTTTTACTTCAATTATTTGTTGATAGGTAGCAATAGTGCTTCAAAGACTGAGGGAGCTACAGCTACAGGAAGTGGCTTTGCGGCAGGAAAACAAGCGTCCCAGTCCACGGAAGCTCTCTTCTGAACCCCTTTTGCCTCTGGATGAGGAAGCTGTGGATATGGACTATGGTGACATGGCTGTAGATGTAGTGGATGGAGACCAAGAGGAACCTTCTGGAGACATGGAGATATCGTTTCATCTTGATTCAGGCCACAAGACCAGTAGCAGAGTGAACTCAACAAGCAAACCTGAGGATGGAGGTTTAAAGAAAAACAAGTCAGCCAAACAGGGTGACAGAGAGAGCTTTAGGAAAGCCAAGCAAAAGTTGGGTTTCTCATCTTCTGATCCAGATCGCATGTTTGTTGAGCTGTCAAATAGCAGCTGGTCAGAAATGTCCCCCTGGGTGATTGGCACCAATTATACCCTTTATCCTATGACTCCTGCTATCGAGCAGCGACTCATTCTCCAATATTTGACCCCTCTAGGAGAATATCAGGAGGTAAGCTCATTGGGAAGAGTATTGTTCACACGTAGGAAATATTGGTATTTTATGGGAGCATTTTATACAATGATATATTCTGACTCTGCTACAAGCAAGGCTTTGCATGAAACTGGTAAAGTCTTATGCAGGTCATTCCTGATATGGTCTGTTCGATTAAAGTGCATTTATACGTTTATCTTCATAGGGAGGGAGGAAGAGGCGCTTCTTTAGGCTTCTATCCTCAAAGAGTGGAATAGGAAATGCATGAAAATAAAGCCAAAATTTAAGACTTGTATTTGGTCTTCATTTCAGCTACTTCCCATATTCATGCGACACGGATCACGGGAGCTAATGATGTTCTATATTGACCTGAAACAAACTAATGATGTCCTGCTTACATTTGAGGCACTAAAGGTAAAGTACTTACAAATAAATATTAGGTCACTGGGTAATTTTTTAAAACTTTCTTTTTTTAAATTAATTTTTTAAAGACAGAATCTCACCCTGTCACTGAAAAAAAAACAAGCAGACTCAAACTCAGTAAAGGAAAATAATTTCCAAGATTGAAAAGAGGCTAAACGTAGAAGGGCAAGTAAGTCTAATTCACAAGGTCCACATTTTTTCAAGATGACTAAACTGATCTGAATGGAGAGAGTTGAATGAATAACAGTATAGCTATCATACAGTTTTCCTCAACGGGTCACTACTGAGAGATGAGGTCATTAAGATTACTTTTTTTTTTTTTGAGACGGAGTCTCGCTATCACCCAGGCTGTGGTACAATGTTGACTCACTGCAACCTCTGCCCCCTCAGGTTCAAGCAATTCTCCTGCCTCAACCTCCTGAGTAGCTGAGATTACAGGTACATGCCACCACGCCCGGCTAATTTTTGTATTTTTAATAGAGACAGGGTTTTACCATGTTGGTCAGGCTGGTCTCGATCTCCTGACCCCGTGATCTGCCTGCCTCGGCCTCCCAAACAAAGTACTGGGATTACAGGCTTGAGCCACCAACCTGGCCTAAGGTTACTTTTTAAAAAAATGTATAGTATGAACAATATTGTAACAATTCTGGAAACGCAAAAGAAAATAATATTCACAATCTCACAATAAAATAACCTTTTATTTTTGTACTTCATTCTAATCTTTATTAATAGACACAGTTGCTTTGAAAATAATTGTTAGCTAGACTTTACAATTAAACTTCAATTGTATCCTAAGAATGTTTACATGTGGCTATATAGTTATTCTGTACAGATTAGATGCTCTATAATTTTCTTTGGTTTTGTGAGATATCTATGCTGTTTCCATTTTTTTTTTGTTACAAAGGACACTGCAGTGAACATTTTATCATAATTTTGAGGTTATTTTCTTTGAATTTCCACTGCTTAGAACAGGGACTGATATGTGGTAAGTAATCAACAAATAGTAGTCACTTACTAAGTGAATGAATTCCCTTAATATTTGTTTCTTGAACCGTGGAAATAAGGATTTTCATGAAAAACTGGCTACCCTGCTGGGCTAAAGTTTTAATTTTAAAACGAAATTACAGTTAAAGCATAACCATGCCAAACTTTCAGTGAAATCCTGGGCATGAAGAAGTCAGAAAAGAATGAGTGAATATGTAACAAGTAAAATTTTAGGATGAACCTATAACAGGTATAAAATTAACCAAGATTTGAATGGAACACAAAGATGATAAGTTACTTTGTTATAAGTGAGACTGAATATTACTTGTGTTTGGGTTTCCAAGATTCCAGGATTGTTACAGTGTTTGTGTTTTCTTTCTTCTT